GGGGGGGGGGGAGATTTGATCACTGGTTTATTTTAAATAAAGTGATTTCCATCAGTTCACCTGTTTTGCTGGTTGCCAACACAGATCCTGGTTGCACAATGCTGGTAGGTGCGAGAGCGGTTGGTGTCTTTAATCCACTGGGTGGTGGAACCTGAGCCCAAAAAAAAAAAAGAAGAGTTGAGAAAGAAATCAGACATACAAGTTTATGGGCAAAACTACAATAATTATCTAACGCATATATATATATATATATATCCCCTGACCCTTATAAATAAACTAACATGCATTTAATTTTGCACTTGCAATATGTTTCATTTAAATGTTTTGTTAAAAAAAAAGCCCAGTAAATTATGGGTTAAATGATCTGTTTAAACATTTCACAGTTTAAACTTGTTTCACAATGTACCTAACAATATACTTTTTAGATTCCTCCTGATTAGACATGTGTGGCCACCAACACAAACGATTATCCTCCCTGTACATCAGACTTCATTGACTTTCCAAAAGTACAGAGTTGTCTCTGTTGCTATAGACTTGGCAGTCTGATAATCCTTTTCTGGTATAAAGTGACTGAGAGGAAGGAAGTAAACTCTTCCCATCAGGGACAAACGTGTCCAGCTCAAAACTCCTTACAGAATGCACAATAATAACTTGTAAAGGATCCACTCTCCTCTATGCTACAAATGGAATAAACTTGGTTTTTATTATGTGACTTGGGACTGTCCTTTAACCTGAGCTTTCTGGTTACAAACAGTGGACACAATGCTTGGGTCACAGACCTGATCCTGAGGATTTACCCGGCTCTCCTCCTATTGGGCATCCACTGGGAACCTGACGCTACTAGACACCAGATACAACCAATCTTTTATATTACATACTATACTATTAGATACACACCATTAATAAATGGTTCACCACAATAAACAAGGTACTCCCCATATACTGCCTCACTTACACAAACAGAGGGTGCTTGGTTAAAATTTGAAGTTGTGGGCTTCATGGATCGACCTATCTACCTAACCATCTCTCTTGCGATTCCTCTGACCACACAGACGTACCCACTTATAAAAGACACATTGTTCTTTACTACCCATTGCTGAAATCCGCTTCCTCCATAATGCCTTAGGTTATGCTAATGCTCAACCTATATCTGATGGCAAATTTTCTGTACAATATTAAAATTGTATTACAGTTCTAATCTCCCTTATGTATGTTGCTTTTTATGTATGTATGTATGTATGTATGTATGTATGTATGTATGTATGTATGTATGTATGTTAAAAAAAATACCCACCCTAAAAACTGCAGAAGCTGTGCCCATGAAAGGCAGGCAGAGGGAAAAGAACTGGTCAAAAATATTGTCTAAAGTCTCCCTGCAGGTGATATTTTCCCCATTGCTGACTTTCAATTCTCTGTTTTGCACATCCACTCTGTGTGGTGGTGGCCATCTCAAAAGAGGCAAGGCTTTGTTTGCCCGTGCCAGAATTTTTTAAATGCCTGCAGTGTCTCTTTTAACAACCCCCAACATTCAGCAAAATAAGCTTTCATACAATGTGATGAAAAGATGAAGTTTAAAAAGGAAAAAGTGATGTTTCTTTCTGTCAGTTTTCCGACCGTTGGCATATATAACAGAACTCGCGTTACTACTGCTGAATCAAACATGGTTCCTTCATCAGGCAAACACAGTGTTTGCCTGATGAAGGGACCATGTTCAGTTCTGAAACGTTGCTTATTGCTTATTGCACTGTGTCACTATGTTTGCCTAGCGTCTTAATAAAAAGGATGTTCAGCACATTTGATCTTGGGAGTGCGGGTGATTTTTTCAATATTCCTGGGATTTGCACGGTGCCATCCACAGGTCATACCAGCACCCACTTGTTCTATGTGATTCCGGTCTGAAGTGCGGTGGATCAATTACTACTACTGAATCTGCTCATACTACGAGAACAGCTCTAACTGCGATGTCACAACACTTGTCCAGTGTCAATTTCAATGCTAAGCAAGTGTTGTGATTTCTAAGCCAAAGTCACTCGAGCAATACGAGCAGGTACGGCAGCAAGAGTAAGTACTGTCATATGTGGCACTGCCAGAAATCTACCACAACTTAATCATCTAAAAACTCAACTCACTGGATATGATAGAGTAACTATTTCTTAGTGTTAACCTAGTTTATGAGAGAGAGTAAATGCCAGCTGATATACTATACATGCATTTGTTTTAAACTGGTCACCACCAAAAGCCTGACTTAAAAGGAGAACTATGAGGTGAGTGCTTTTCACCAATCCTCATAGTTCTAGCCGACCTGTGACAATGAGACTGTCACAGGTCGGCTCAGTAGCTCGTGAAGTGAGTGAACACATTCCGGCGTTCGCTCACTTCTCGATCCCGTCACGGCAGAGAGCCGTAACAGGGGAAGGGCTGGATTCCCCCCTCCCCCGCTCCGATCCTCCAGCGCTGACTGGCGGAACGGACCGGGGAGGGGGCGGGTACAGCTGGCTCTGCCTCTAGATAGGCAGAGCCAGCTGTCACTCACGCAGCTGGGCGGATCCAGACATAATTGTCGGGATCTGTTTCAGCTGCGGTGTCTCAGTATACCGCGAGCTGTAGCTCGCGGTATACTGAGCTTAGGGTGATGGGAGGACGCTAGTTTGTGTCCTCCTGTTACCCTTAGGAGAACTATGGGGAAAAGCCCTGACCCCATAGTTCTCCTTTAAATTCATTCTAGGATGTAGGGTCAGGCAGTGGGCAACCCTTGTCAGCCTTCAGGGTGACATCTAATCTTGTGATTGCCTTAACAATAGTGCTACCTTGACAGGCCTGTGTGTCTCAATTATGTTTGTTACCAATCTTCCCTTAACTTCTGAAGACAGCACTGAATGAAATGTATACCTGCTTAGCAGGAGCTGATCCTACTGTCACTAGCACCTGGTTGATCACCTGGGCAGCAGAATGTGGAACAGAAGGCCTAGGGGAAAGAAGATGCGAGACATAATTACAATGAACATCTAACTAAATCGATTTCTCTGCTCATTATGAAGCTGCATACACATTGCTACATTACGCATAAATGTAAAGATAATCACCCTGAAAATATTCACAAAAGTTGGATAGATTTGTGGGTTTGAAAAAGGATATTACGCAGAGTACAAAAAAAAACATTTTCTTTCTCCTCCATTGAGAGATAGAGGAAGTCTCTTCATTTACGGGCAGCACAGTGCCTTTATAGTTAGCGCTTCTGCTATGCAGCACACGGGGTCATCAGTTCACATCCCGGTAAGGACGCAAGTTTACATATTCTCCCTGTGCTTGCGTGGGTTTCCTCCAACACTCCAAAGACATGCTGGAAGGTTATTTGGCTCTCGTATGTATGCATGTGAGATAGGGACCTTAGATTGTAAGCTCCTTGAGGGCAGGGACTGATGAGAATGTGCAACTATGTAACACGCTGTGTAAATTTTCGGCACTATATAAATACCTGTAATAAATAAATACAATTTTGGGAAGCCCAAAAGCAGTCCAACTGAAGGGTGGACAAAGCTGGAGGCTGCCTGCAGGCTCATTATGCCCAAAGCTATCAGAAAACACTGCACCCTCCACCTGGTTGTACTTGTCAGATAATGTGTAAAAAGAAGGCCACGTGGAAGTTTTGCATATTTGCAAAACAGCTGGCAGTCCAAGAAGCACTCACAAATCTAGTAGCATTTAATTTGAAAGGAAAGGATGGAACTCAAATTATGGAGACCAAAGGCTTGCATGATGGCCTGCCTGTCTGAGCAACCTGGAGATAGCAGAATGAGAAGCCAGTTCATCCTTATAGGGACAATCCAGGATGACTAAAAGGGAATAAATATTTCTGAAAGAAGCGGTGGCTGAGAGATACTCTCTTAAACTGAGCCACATCCAGGCAATGAAGGGAAATTTCCTATTAGTGAACTGGAGATGGACAGTGCTGAGTGCTAAATGCTAAAACAGTGGAGAGTTAACCCTGGTCCAGATACATATATAGAAAAGGAGAGGATTAATCCCATGGAGAAAAGTTTAGGGTGGAATCCCTGGGACTCAAACTAAATTATAGACCTTGCAGAAAGTAGACTTCATGGCTTTAACATCGTAGGAATGACAGATTCAGAGATATCCCTGTCTCTCAGAGTCTAGGCTTCAACAGCCAGGTCTCTCAATTTGAAAGAAATAGCATAAGACTAACTTCTCCAGATAAGCTGGACTGGAGAGACTCAGAAGACAGGCTCTGCGGCAGATGGATCAAAAAAGTCTTTAAGGCTGCAGGTATATGAGAGAAGGAGAAGGCGCAGGAGCGTGCTTTTGGCCTTTGTGGTCAGTCAATAAATAACTGGCTGACTTGGGCATAAAGTCTTGTGCAACTGCAATAAAAACCTCAACTGAAAAGGCAGACGCACTGGCCACATCTGATAGAGCTAAGGAAGGCTCTAGGGGCAGAGGGCAACACAATTCCAGGCTGCAGACAGCAGCCACATAAGTAGATGCGCACCCACGTATCTAGAATCAGACAAAGTTGAGACTGTTTGGTGGTACGACTACTTAAGGACAGGGTATAAAGCAAGGTCTTTGGTACTCACAAAACCCAAACAGCTGGTAGCAAGTGATGATCAGGTAGCCGAAGGTGACTAAAAGTTACTGTAGGTGGGTAGCAAGAATGAATAAACAAAGCTTTTGCAGCAGAAACAGTAGTGTGGAAGTATCCTCCTTTTTATTATATGGCAGGAAAGAGCATGAGCACACAGAGCGACACTCCATTCTGCAAATTATTCAGGTGCTCTGTCCCAGTATTCTGTCCATGGCAGAAACTGGAGGGAAACGGGGAAGTTTAAGGGCGCTTAGTGACTTAACTATTTTACATAGCTCCCCAACCAACTGGCCCACCCACTACTCGGCCTGACTGGCCCACTTGTTAAGTGGGTCTTTAAAGACAGGGCAAGCCCGGAAGCAATGCCAACAGCTCTGGGCTTGGAAAGCGATCGGTGGCTTACATGTTACCAGAGAGGAGTCGGGAAGGTGCCTTATGCAGAACTGATTGCCCCAAGGTCACTTCCAGGCTATCTCGGCAATGACCAGTCCAGCATGGCACAGACAGGAAACTTGAAAAGCTAGACAGAGGACAGACATGCTGGACAGCTGCAATTAAAGAGACCAGCTCTATCAACATCGGTAGTTTGTAAAATGCTAGAGGGCATAATAAAGGATTATCTGGTAGAATTTGTTCAGGAAAACGGGATAGTTAATGACAATAAGAGTCTTGACTGAAGACAAATATTTAAAAGGTGTAGGAAAAAAAAAAAAGAGCTAGAAAAATGAGGCAAGTCTTTTAAACAGCAGAGCTCTTTGGACACCAGCTAAGAATGCTGGTAGTATGAGGGGGTTATCCTTGGCTGGCCTAAATTATTTGTGTTTGCTAAGGTCCAAACCTCCTGTAGGCAGCAGTACACCCTGAATGTAAAAGACTTTCCGTGTCCCTCAATGGATAAGAAAGAAAAAATTATTTACAAAATTGGTAACATCAGAGGCTGCACAATTTAAATCTTTTAAAATTGTCTTACCCAATCACTGTGGAAATGTTTGGACCAGGCCCATTTCCCTTTAATTCTTTAACATTGACCACCTGGGGTACAGTTTGTAGGGTAGATTCAGTCAGGGAGGCTAAAAATATAAAACGAAATCATGAAAGTGAAAAAAAAAGCATACAGACTTGTGACAGTTAAGCCAATAATAAATCACACAGAAGCATATTACCTGACACCTGATTGGTCATATGCCTCCTTAAAGCTGCTGCGGCAGCTGCCTGCGAAGCCGTGACAGTTGGAGCTCCATGTTTGACAGTCTTGGTAGCCAACATTGTGCTGTCTGCACCCTGTGGGATCACTCTGATTGACTGTGCAGGTACTGCGGCTGCAAAAATGACATAGTGAAGCACATCAAATTAACAATGTTTAGGTTTGGGTACAATAAAGGGATGGGTGTCGTGTTAACGTTCATAAACTGACAAGAGTTAGAGTGATCTTGCACTGGAACATTTCTCTATACGTTAACAAATAATGGGCCTCATAATGGAGGTGCCAGTGTTGCCCACAGCAATTTTGAAAAAATGTTTAGCAAATTTTCGAAAAGGAACAGTTGCAATCTGACCAGTCGCTATGGGCAACAAGTGAATCATGCTTCCTAAAAGTAACACAGTGTGCCTATGCAAAAAATGAGTTTAGGACTGAAACATCTGGGGTGCAACGTCCTGGCTAGAGTGTGTGTCCTACAGTATGATGACGGCTAGGGCTATCAAGTAAATATAACTTCAAAAACGGTTTTGCTCATACAGAAATGTTGCATTTTTTGTTTTAAAGACTCACGAGTGCTTGTAAATGGACCAACTTGAGACTGGGCTTTTGGGCCAAATGGAGGCAATGGTGTTCCAAACCCTGGCTGCACAGATGTAGTACGTGTCACTGCTGCGTGGCGTGCAGTTCGGACAGAAAACGCCTCCGGTGGTGGAGTCTCCCGTTTAAATGCTTCACGCTGTGGGGGTGCTTGAATCTCTTCATTATCTGCTGCCTCAGACAGTGAGGATGTTGAGCTTACATCATCCAAGTCTTCAAAGTAACTTGGGGCCAGGAAGGATGACCGACAAAGGTTGACTTAAAACAGAACACAAGACCGATTTTTTTACAAAGCATGAAGAATAATTTTGGTGGGAAAAAATAATTGCTCACGTTTATAGTACAGTCTTTCATACAAAACACTGCCCACAAGTCAAGCATGCACTGTCTATGGGTAGCACAGTTAGGCTGGTTAAAGATTTTCCAGTGTTCTCAGAACCACTTCTGTTTAATCTTTAAGTTCCTTTAAAAGAGGAAATAATCTTTTAATTGCATATACACTGTAGACAAGATGTTTAAAAGCACCTAGCTTGGCATATATGCACCATAGCCATCATAACCCTCCTTGACCTTCAAACCTATGATAATTGTCTACTTAAAGGTTGCTACTGACCTAATAAAGTGTATTTCAGCAGTCTGCAGACTGTAAAGACACTCTCCATGGTTGGCTATGCACACAGACACACGCGTGCGTGCATACACACACACACTTCATTGAAGCCTATATAGATCTATAACCATCTACTAGTATTATGTAAGAGCTGCTGAGCACACCACAATGTTTTCTCTTAAGTGTTTTCTCTGTTCCACCACATACTTCCCTTGTAAACAAACGGAAAAAACACAAGCAAGTTGCTACCTGGGGCCAGCGATCTAACTACTGGCGGTTTCCTGTTGGCCAAAAAATTTCTCAGCTGGTTCAGCTTCAATTTTGCTATCTTGGCTGCAAAAAAAAACAAACACACATTTCATGAAATTAATATAAAATACTGAAGTCAGATAACTAGCATTTTCAAAGCAGTGGCAGCCTACATATTTAGCTTAGCAGGCTTTCTTTAAAAGAAGAACTATGGGGTTAGGGCTTATCCCTAACCCCATAGTTCTCCTTAGGGTAATGGGAGTTCTCCTTAGGGTAATGGGAGGAAACAAACTAGCGTCCTCCCGTCACCCTAAGCTCAGTATACCGCGAGCTACAACTCGCGGTATACCGAGACACCGCAGCTGAAGCGGATCCCGACAATTATGTCTGGATCCGCCCAGCTGCGTGAGTGACAGCTGGCTCTGCCTATCTAGAGGCAGAGCCAGCTGTACCCACCCCCTCCCCCGTCCGTTCCGCCAGTCAGCGCTGGCGGATAGGAGCGGGGAATCCAGCCCCTCCCCTGTCACAGCAGAGAGCCGTGACAGGATCGAGAGGGGAGCGAACGCCGGTATGTGATCGCTCACTTCCCGATCAACTGAGCCGACCTGTGACAGTTTCATTGTCACAGGTCGGCTAGAACTATGAGGTGAGTGAAAAGCACTCGCCTCATAGATCTCCTTTAATGTATATGAAGACTCTTACGAAATAATTACTTTGTTAGGTCAAGCACATTGGGGAAATTGAAAGAGTGTTGTTGAGATGCAGAAGAAAAGTGTCTCAGGGTAGTGTCATCACTTGCACCAAATTCATGTACAAGCCTGCATAGCATTCAAGAATTTGGTGCAGGCGTACTTAAGTTGCTTTAATCATTTGTGTGTGTATATATATATATATATATATATA